GTACCTGGAAGTTGTCAAAACTTCTAAGGCGACCTTCATAAGCCCCTTCCCCGCAGGAGGGAATGAAGATGTATGTTGAATGCTCGACTATGGGAACAATCATCCAATCCTCTCCAACCAATTACAATGAGCACTTCATTATTTATTTACCCTATACTGTGTAAATAAACCCAGGTGGTTGCCAAACTTTGTAGGAGCCAAACCCAGACTTACCTTCTTTTTCAGTTCCACTGACCCGAATCCATGACAAGGAGACATACATCTCTGTTCCCTTGTTCAGGGAATGGGGGTTATGACGGTAACCATAGACATTCCCTTTCAATCACTACACCGTATGTTGAATGATCAATTATGGGAACCCCTTGAAAAAGGCCATGCCAAAGGTCCTTCCTTACAAGCTGAGGCTAAACTAAATAGGTTAGCTGCTAAGGTTATAGCAGCTGTATGGATTCTAATTCTGCCCCTGACTGGAGGCGACACACAAGGAGAGCATCCCTTCTGTGAAGGGCTTCTGGTGAAGATCATCATCCTACAGAGGGGCAGGTACAGAGCCAGCAGTGTTACCCACCCAAAGGGGGGGGTGGTACGGAAATACCCTCAAGACAGGAGTCGAATTAAACACCTGAAAGGGGGGTATCATTTGGGATGCTATGTGAATCCAGGGTGAAGCGAGCACTTCCATGTGAAAAAACTCACCTCCACCCAAGCTGACAGAGGAAAAGTTCCTTGGAAGCAGCTAAACTTGGAAAGGAGATCAATGAGGTTCTGGAACCAGTCTAGGCCTAGTGTAATCCAGTAAAATACTACTATCTGTTAAAACTCCGATCTGAATCCCTAACATCTGAATCCCCAACGTTACCAGATTTCCAATCGTATGGTATTTTCTAACGTAGAACACTGAGAATTGAATTGATTGGGCGGTTTGCTCCAGAAGCTCAGGAACTTCTCTAAAGTCCCAAAATATGGTTTGAAACATTTGAACTCCCTTGTCCTGAAAAGGACTTCAAACTTGTAAAGAGAGCAACCTTGGCTTTCCCACACCAGCAGAACCATGTGATCCTAAAAAGGAATACACGTATAGAGAGAACGGATGGATCGGTGATTTTATAGCCAATCAAAATGCATACTGTACAGGTATCATTCGAAGTGCTTGATGTTTGTGTAACAGAGAGCAGGCGTCAGCAGGAGCCAGTAACTGCCGCTTTCAGCCGTTTGTGAGACTCCCGAGGTGACGTTTGTGAGGCCGCCTGCAGTTTAACTGGCTGCTCCAATCGTTTTATTAGCTCTAGAAAGGCTTTCCTGGCTAGCACCAAGAAAGAGGATTCCGTTTGAGCAGTAGATGATTAATAATGGCATCAGGTTTGCTGTCTTTCCACAGCTTGAACAGAAGCCTTCACTAGCAGCGGCCTCGGCATGTTTCCATCCGAATCACAGACTAAGGCTCAGTTTTCCTCAGAGACCCGAGCTGCGATTGGATCAATCCTCTGGCAGAGCTTTTCTGTATTGACTCAATAAAGCAGTCGGGACTGTCGGGAAACTATGCCAGCATTCGGATTGTTTTTACAGAAACCCTTTGAGTCACTCCTCAGTAAACCAGCAGATATTCTGTAGATTGAGTCAGTCAAACATCTGAAAAACTTTCCAGGACTGTTATACTGTTATACTGAACGCTATACTGTTATGCAACGTGCTGTAAAACAGACATCTGAAGATCTGAAGGACTCTGCTGGTGATTAACTGGTTAAAATGAGCAGAACTGAGAGCTGAGAGCCTGTGTTAAAGTCAGAACATCAGGTGAGGTCACCGTCTACCTACTTCCTCCTCCCACGACACTGCTCCCTGCTCCTCTGGGACAATATTGAGATTCCAGGTCAACCGAAAGTCAACCAAGACTATCCATCGTGTCCAGTGCCAAGACCCCCTCACTTCATAAAGCAGGTTTCTCCTGCCTCCTGCACAATTTCTCTAAGGAATCACCCAGCCTCACATCTTTCTTTCCTGCTCATGACCAGAGCTGAGAGATATGGCAAGATTCCAGTCGGCATTTTTCAAACATGCTTTTGTCAAAGCCATATTTGTTCAGCTTGTGAACATATGCCACCTTTTCACCAAGCTGTTTTGTAATGACTTGGCACATCATCCTTTTGTTGACTTGTCCAAAGCATTTTGAATCAGTACTTTCATCATACTCTGTTGGATGAGGCTCTCAAATCAGATTAAAGTGGGCCTTAACTCTTATTGGAAAGACAATTGTAACAGCATCATGTTATACACTGACTGACCAGTTGTTGAGCTCACTGATTGGCCAGAAAGAATAATCACTGTGTATATATACTGTAGAATAATCCTCATAATAACCTGCAAATAATCCTACGGTTAGTTATGGTTTGAGCGCTGAAATTGTGTAGAACGGTCACCGAAAAGTCCCCGAATTTTGCACACTCTCACTTCAAAACTAGTGAAAATTTACATTTGGTTAGGCTTTGAAAAGTTGATGTGGCAAAATGACTCCACCTAAAGCCTTTCATCTTATGGTGTGCTAACAGTTTGTCGTAACATAACGTAATATTGATCGGTTTTAAAAATCGACAGGAAGTTGACTTTCACAAAAACCTCTAAAAAGGACTACTTTTGCTTGAGTTGTATTTTAACCAACACTTCGTGGAGATTTTATTATTCTCAAATTGTGAAGCTTTTCATTAAACTCGGAGCACTCAATGCCATCGAAAGTTAAGGTCAACTTTCGGCATAAACAGGAAGTTGTTAATAACTCATCAATTCAATGTCTGATCAAGTTTTGCCAAATTTGCCTAAATCAATCTAAATAACTCAGCAGCAACCTGGAATGTTCTATTTTCTGCTCTTTTATACTGCTGTTTCAGGTTTTGTTGAATAAGTATCCTATATAGGGATTGTTTTAGTGCATATTGTTTCCACAGAGAGGTGATCGCTGCTCTGAGCATTAGTTTGTACTGCCTTCAAAAGAAAAACGTCATTAAATAACTTTTTTAAAAAAATGACATGGTGCAGAGCTTCCTTTTTCTGATTGTAGTAGACCATGTCTAGCGAGAATTCAACAGTGCCAAAATGAAAAGTTTTCCAAAAGATTGTGCCTTTCTGTCACTCACCAAGCGAAAATAGAATGTTGTAGTGGATTGATGCATCTAAGCCATTACAAGTGAATTGTCCAATAAAGAAAAAAATGTTGTTTTATCTACACATTTTATACATGGAAATATAATTTGTTCTGTTTCTTCCTTCAGTACTCTCATTTCTTCCACAAACGGTTAACAATAAATTTGCTGAACTGTCTCGTAACATTTTTCCATTTGGGTGATTTGGGTGATCAACTTAAAAGTATAAAGATGAAAAGTATGAGCATTAGCGCCAGTCAGTACTTAGTTCCATCTCCTTTCATCCGAATATGAGAGCCAAGGTTGCTCTGGTGGTGGCCTTCAGCTCTACTTCATTGTTGGGTCTCGTGTGTTGCGTCTTCCTTTTTGCAATACCACATGGACTTTCAATGGGGTTAAGGTGAGGCGGGTTTTCTGGCCAATCAAGAACAAGGACACCATGGTCCTTAAACCAGGTACTGGTAGCTTTGGACATCTGTGCAGGTGCCCAGTCCTGTGAAAATTAAATCTCCATAAAGTTAGTCAGCAGCAGGAAGCATGAAGTTCTCTAAAACTTCCTGGTCAACACCCACGTTGACCTTGAAACTCAGAAAACACAGTGGACCTACACCAGCTGAAGACATGGCACCCAAAAACCCCCAAACAATGTGGATTCTGTACCGCTCCTCTCTTCTTCCAGACTCTAGGACCTTGACCATAACTTTGGCCCAGACAGGACATTTCTGAGAGTTGCTTGACGTAAGCAGAGTGACAGCCATGCGTCTGTGAGTGGTGTTTTTTGCTGCAGTGTGCAGTGTTTCTCAACCAATCCATGTTTTTAGATATTTTCAGTAGTTGTCAGCTGTAATAGTCAAAATTACAGGTCTATTAAGATCAATGAATAAATGTAATATTAATACAGGTTTCACGTTTGGATCAGCAGCACATGTATGTTCTATTTGAAGTCTTGTTCGAACTTGTGAAAGCCATGTTTGAGAGTGCACCGCCCCTTTAAGAGTGAAAACAGATACACAGACATTCTGTCATTCACCCAGAGAGCAGCTGATGTTAATTAAGATTAATTAATTATGGAATTTAAACCTGATCCGACACTTGTTTAATTGCTTGTGCATTCCATGCAGATGTAGATTTTATGGATAACATGGTGAATGTCCCTTTTGTTTGTCCGGTGACCTCCAAGGATCTTCAGATCTCAATGGGCCACATGGAGATGAAGGAACTAGCTCTTAGTTTTCTTAGCTCGACTTTCTCTGGGTTTTATGCAACACTAATGCTTAATGCGTTTAAAGTTAGTAAACCAAGCACCTGACCTGCTGTTTATTCATCATGCAGGAAAACTGTTGCTTTGGGTTGTTAACCATGACAACTAGCTAAAGCACATAACAGTGTATTGTGCCCGTGTGTTTTTCCATTATTAAAGTGAACAGGACAAGTTTACGGCACTAGAGAACATAGAGTTTCCAGAGAAAGACGTGAAGAACGAAGGATGCCTGGCTGCGCTTTACCCATCATAGGAAAATTCCACATCCATTAACACCATCCATGTGTGCAGTATATACTGGAGGAGTCATAGACTAAACACGGCCCTCATTAAGAGAACGCTGAACAAATCAGAGCTTCCGCAACAAAGCAATTCTTCACTGGATTCAGTTTTATTATGGAGCAAGCAGAAAAACCGAAGTCAGCATTTGTTTTTGTTGGTTTTCTTTCTATTATTCTTCAGCTTCTTCTGTAGCTTCCTTCCATTACAATGACAGCCCATAGAAACGCTTGCAGGAAAGGTAAGAAATTTGACACCGTTAGACTCTGAACGGTCACCACACAAAATTTCAAATGGCTAACTCAAATCGTCAAATGCCAGCCCTAGCTTTCCTGTGGCTCAGTTTGCAGAGCATTGTGCTAACAATGCAAAGCTAATGGGTTCTAATCCCAGGGAGAGCAAGAACTGACAAAAAAACTGTTTATTTCCAAAACCCTCTACGTACAATGGGCCAATGGAATCCCTTCCACTGTAGAGGGAAGGTTAGGATATGCACCAGGATGAAAGTTAGGTGCTGTGGCCTCACTCTTCCAATACACAACTCTCCACAACCACTCACCACTGACAATATCAGCATCTGCTCCAACATCGGAGTCCTAAGTTCAGCCCGCCTCACCAGTTTTCAGGTAGATCCTCTGTTCAATCCAAGAACCTTTTTCAAGACATTTCTCATGGGTGTGGTGGCTTTGTTTCAAAGGACGGTCACAAGCCCCTTGTTAAATGTTTGCATTTCCAGCACGCTACCATGGAGCTTGTGAGGACGGCATGCCCTGCCACAAGCTCCAGTACAGCTGATGCCCAGGTATGGACTCAGGTTCCAGGCTCTCACACCCTCCCCTCTCTTCCAGAAAGCTTCCCATTCAGATGAGGCAAAGGACACATTGGCCAGCACCTCCTACAATCCTACTGACAATCTGCTATCCATTGCTCAATTGAATGGGGCAGTCATTTCTGGAGTCATTGGGTCTGCCTCTGCCACTTAGCACTGTGCAGGGGCAGCGCCTACTTGATGGCGAGAAGGCCCAGAAGCTTTCTCGTGCTGCTGAAGCCATCAGGATGGAGATGCCACCCCTCCCTCATCCAGTGCTCTTGTTGCTGTATGATTGGTTTGTGGGGGCATGTCAAGAGGAGTTGTTCCCTGAGGTGAATCAGGAGCTCAACAAATTCTGGCAGGCGCTCCTCCCCCCTCACCATTTGGTGATGCCCCAGGTGGAGCAGGTTGTGGTGTATTGGAGGACTCAAGCAGGTATCCCCTACAGACCTGTTTTCACCAGCTCTAATGGTCAAAAGCTTACTCAGCAGTGGGTCGCACTGCATATCATGGCCACTTTAGCCTGGTGCTCCAGGCCAAGTTCCTTTGAACATGCACAAGGGTGCTGGCATTCCATGGCTGGACAATGACTGCCATTGATTTTTCCTTCATTGGTCGATGGTGGTAGCTCCACAAGCCCTGGGCGGCACGATGTCCGATTTGGGGGTCCAGAAACACCACCTTTGGTTGAACCAGGCAGTAATGCGTCCAGTTGACCAGACAGCAAGTTCTGACCAGTGGCTCTTTTCCTTTACGCTGCACCTGGTAAGTAGACCAGGATTTAGCCATGTACTTTCCTAAAAAGTAAGAAGACGAAGTGACATCCCCATAAGGGTCTAGGTCCAACGGCAGAAGGAGAGCCTGTGCATGCATCTGGCTTCACGTCTACGTGTCTACCTTAGCGCTGGCCTGGGTTTGTATATTGTCCTTTCATTGTGAGGTACAGGATGGGGTTTAGTTTAACAGCCATAGAAGGTTGGGGTCGCTAGGACAATGACATCGTGGAAAAGTTTGAGGTGAAAGTACAATACATTGTACAACAGCATTTTCTTAATCTAAAATCTTCCATTTGCTTCCTCTTACCAGCAGATTCAAATATGTGCTGAAAGATAGAAGGCAATAAATATGGAGTTGGTGTCTCTTGAGCTGTGCCATCAGGGATGGTGCGAGGTCAAAAAGTGGTGCAGGTTTGATTCATATTTCAGGAACTTCTTCTGCAGGTCTCAGATGTGCTCTGATCTGAATGTGTGTATGTGAGACAGAAGATAACATAGCACAGCTGCAGTCCACAAAAAGACAAGCTTCAGATCCACAAGAAAATACTGAAGAAACCCTTCAGCAAAACCTTTAAAACAACTGGGTTCATGGATGATCGGAGAGATCATCTAAAAGTACAGATGTGTAGAAGAATCAATCAGTGAGGGATGGAGAGGGGTGAATTGATGAGTAAAGGGATAGATGGATGAATGGAAGGACAGCTGGACGGACAGATGGATGGAAACAATGTATGAACAAGCAGATGGATGGATGTGAAAAAAGAAATAAGGAAAGAAGGATTGCTGGATAGGCAAATGCATGGACAGAAGGGAGGGATGGATGAATGAAAGGCTGGACTGATAGATGGGAAAATGGATAGATCGAAGAACAGACAGTGAAATGGAAAGAGGGATAAATTGATCCATAGATGAATGAATGTATGGGCAGATGGATAGAAGGATGAAATATGATTGAAATGTGATTGGGTGGACAATTGAATGGATGGACGGATGGATGATTGCATGGTTAGACAATTGAGACGATGGATGGATGGAAGAACTGGATGAATGTAGAGATGGATGGATGAATGGATAATTGAATAGATAGACAGAGGGCTGGATGGATGGACATGTGATTGAATGGATAGACGGATGGATGGGTGATTGAATAAACGAATGGGCAGATGGATGGATAATTGAATGGAGGGACATACTGACTATTGAATGGGTGGATGGATGATTGGAGAGACAGATGATTGAGTGGATTGATGTACAAATGGATGAATGGATATGATTGAATAGAAGGATGTACAGAGGGATGGATGGACAGCTTAATTACATTGTGTTGATGGCTGGATGGAGTGATGGAGCATTCAAAACTAATGGATGGAGAAGGGGAATGGAGGGCTAATGAAAAAAAGAATAGCTGAACATATATGAACAGATAGGGATAAATAATAAAGGATAGATGCAATTTAAATCAGTTTCTTTGTTTTGGTTTACTAGGCCGCCATTTGTTTTCCTTTTTTGTAGAATTTCTGATAAATATATTTAGCTGGTTGTAAAACCCTTTCAACTGTGAGATCAAGAAATCAGCTCTGAATGTTCTCTATCACAACAGAAGCTCTGCAGATCTAAAGTCTTCTGCCTGATGTACCGAGGTCTTTACTGAACCTGATGAAGAATGAAGGTCACTGTTCTGACCTGCTTCAGATGGAGAATCATTGAGTGAGAACGGTTCCTTGCAGTTCATTCATCTCTCAGATCACTTCATCTCTTTTTCTGCTCTACAGCTCTGAGCTTCTGTCGAGACGGAGAGGTGAACAGAAGCTCTGCCAAACAGATCAAGAGAAAAGATTGATTAATTGGGGACTGCTTCATGCGTTTCCTCATCTCTCGCAGGAGAAAAGGACTATTAGATACATAAGTAATCCACAGTTTTTTAGCAGATATATAGCATTTTTATGCACTTTTACATGCTATATACACTGGCGCTAATGTAACTACACACCAGCCAGAAAAAACAAAATGTTGTTTTAAAGAAAAGACACCGATTATTTATATTTTTTTCACGGAGTGCGCCAAACAATGATATTGGCTCATTCGGTGTCTTCAGCCGGTTAAAGTTAGCAATAGGCGGCAAACGAACAATTTGTTCAGGAACAAACCAACAAACGACCGTCTATGCCATTGTATCTCTGCAACTTCTCATTGCTCTCTGGATGTGGCTCTCATTGGCTGCAGATAATCACAGACATTATTGTAGTCAGAACACACTGCATATTTGAGACTCGCCGACAGAGAAGCATCCTGCTAGAGGGCATGGTTACTTCAATCTGTGCAGTCTGATTTGCATGTGATTTGCAGCTTGGCTTTATATTGACAGATAAGCGATCGCTTCTCCTTTTACATAAACACATCTCACACAGTGTGAATGTCATCTCCGCCAACTGCATGAAGTGAATTAACTGCATGGAGTGTATTGGAGCTCACTGAAGCGCCATCTAGTGTTCAGGAGTCTGTCTGTGCACTCATTTTTAAACGAATGAGCTATATTTGTGCAAAGCATGGTATGAACCAACTGGGAGTTAATGTTCCTCAAAATATGACCATCAGAGTAGAGTCAGGGAGATTCTAAATTTGTTTATATAATCAGTTTGGCAGTTTTGGAAACGTTTTAAAATGGATTGCAACACACTGGACATTTTTAACGGTCAATTTTATGGAAACAGTGATTTTTACATAAAAAAAACAGTAAATTGATCACAAAAACAAAAAATATAACTGCAAGCAGTAATGCGGGGCCAAGCATCCAGTAGGCAAAACGTGAGCAGAAGCACCATCAAAATGTAAACTAAATACATGAAATCGTCATGTCGTCACAATCGTCATGGCTTTTATTGAAAACTGTAAAGGCAATCAACACGCTACGAATAACTTTGTGCCAGCAAGGTCTAAGGATGTTCCGATTCAAATTGGGTGAGAATCTGACAAACGGTCTGGGTGGAGTTAGAAAAAGTAAGGTTTTCAGTCAATTCAACATGGCAGACAGGAAGTTCAATCAATTATGGTAAATTTTATATCTATGTTTTCAGCTCGACCTAAGCAACAAAACTGGATGAGATTTTTGACAATAAGCTAAACCAGCAAAAGTTATTAGCATTTTTCTAAAACCTTTTTTATCTTTTGGCCACAAGGTGGCGCTGGCGTAAAATTTGTTGAGTCAGTTCAGGGCATGGTGTCAAACATGCACAACAACTTTCAAAATTTTAAAGTAAAGCATGTTTGAAATACAGCATTTTTTTGGCATAATTCAAAATGGCCGACGCCCAAAATGGCCGACACAGTAAAAATGGACATGGTTCGACTCGGCTTGATGCTCCAAACACGCTGATACCAATTTTATGAATTTTGGATAAACGGTTTGGGAAATACAGGCCGAATTGCCAATTTTTTATATCTCCGGACCACTAGGGGGCAGAGTGACAAAACACTGCATGCAGCCTCAAATTATAGGTGTTACAACATAGACAAAGTTTGGTGTACATAGGCTAAAGCGTTGTGAAGTTATAGCCTTACAATCATTTTTGCGAGTTTTGCGTAAGGATCATTCGCGAATAATTCGATAACGGTTTGACGATTCAAAAATCCAAGAAATAACTTTTGTTTGGCATAGTCAGTAGATGATATGGAGCGAATTTCGTGAAGTTTGGACAAACGGCCATGGAGGAGTTAGCAAAAGTAGGTTTTTCATAAAATTCAAAATGGCGGAAAAATTTGCATGACGGAAAATGACGTCATAGGGTCAGGTCGATTCGTCTTGAGCCAAGGAATC